CTGGAAACGTGGGTTAGAAACTGTAGTTTGAGATTATGAGAAAATATGCTTGCCAAGTCTCAATATGTGGCCCAGCAGTGGGATACTGAAAATCGCTATCACTAATCTCCAAAAGAATACCAATTGCGCCTACCAGCATGCAATATTTAGTTACTCATACTGCCAGATTTTTCTAATTACAAGACATCGGATCTTTTATGCAAAAAAATAATTCTAAAAGTATGTGCCATATAATTATAATATATTATAAATTGATATTTTTTGTGCAACATATTTTTAGGCTTCTATTAATTTTTCTTGTCGTAAACTTTCAGGTCTCACCACTTCTCATTTAAAGAATTTCGGCGACAAAAACTTAGCGTGGCGATTGTCAGAATTCCACTGCAGGTGAATCTATTCGGTTAATAAACCACTTGGCAGTTACGAATATTGTTTTGGCCTCCTAGTCTTCCGAGCCAAACATATGTAGCTTAAGGTGTTTAAGGTTCATTTCGCGCGGCTCGGGCTGCCACGCTGACCCTGATTAGAGCAAGCAGTCGTACTTTGCTCGGTAGTTTATTTAGTGCAGCCTCCAAGCGTTGGATGCTTGGCTTTGAGCGTCATATTTATTGATTCCCTTGCGCGAGTACAGAGTTGTAAAAGCCTTCCTGCAACGCCAGGCAACGTTCTATTTCCTGAGATCAACTTTTTATCGAGTTTAAAGCCCAAAAACTTATCTTTAGCTTTATTCTTGAGACTTATGCGAATAATTTTTAGCCCTGAAGTTACCGACGGTATTTTTTTGTGTTTTGTAAAAGCAGCAGTTCCACTTTTGCCGAATGAACCCAAATACTTAATATAGATCGTGGATGACCGGAATGTTTCCCAAAGTTTTCTCTGTCAAGTCGAACAGCGTCTGTGAGAACTTGCCTCGGCAATATAGTCCACATAGGTGACACATTTTGCGTACATCCATTCCACCTGTTGCAAGAAGGAGTGCGCAGTTGAATTGCTCGGAAGTGGCGAGCCACATTGGTGTGTATCTCTTGGAACGCGCCTCTTCTGTGCTTCGCTCCAACATACTCTCTATAATTATTTGCGCTCTATACTCCACGAGAGAATTGTCTACTTTTAGCGCTCTCAATTGCTTGATCGTTCTTCACTTAAGCACACATGTGCACTTCTCAAACGGCGAATAAAATTATTTATACTAAATGTGGCTCTTAAATTTGCACTTGTGAGACAATTGACTTGTCACAAGTCACTACAAAAAAAAAATCGGACCTGAAATACACTGTCTTACGTATGATTTGTGATCGCTTTGGGATTTCCCGCATTAGTCATTAAAAAATCATGCAATATGACCCCACAATCAGTTCCAAATTTTCACATTATAACAGGCATGTAGTCATGGAGACATTGCACGCGTCTCTACAAAAGTAACTAACAGCTAATCACCAAGTGTGATCTTTTTATCCGAATTTTCACTTACATACACATATACATATACAGTTTCAGGGCTCTATTTATGTATGTTTTACAAAACGAAAAAACCAGAAATTTACAAGTTCCGCCTCCAGTTTGTAACGCACAATATCCAGGGTATTATGCAACTTGTAGAATCTGTAGTTTATATATGTGTGTATAGTTAATTTCATTGTAGTTGTTTTTACTGTTTTCCTAACTACAAAGCGTAACTGAGAAGCAAATGGAAAAATAAAAACTTGTGCAAACTGAATTTTTGTGTCGCCTGTTATGCATGTAAGTTTCGTTTAAAATTTTCAACGAAATTCCAGTCAAAATATTTGCACCGACAACTGCTAACCAACACAATGGAATTTGAATATACTCAAGTGTATGCAAATAGTGCAATGTTATGGCAGGCGTTCTAAACCCTGCAAGGAGGAAGACAATGAACTAGTCAGCACAGTTTCTATGTAATTCGCAAACTCTTTTAGTGATGTTCCCGGAAATGCAAACAAGTGTGAAAGTGATTAGATTTTCAACACTTAAAAAGTGTGTTTAATGAGATTAAGTTGAACTAAAGTGAGGCACTATTGACGAGTTTTGAAACTTTACCTTTCAGTGAATTTCGGGGATTAACTTTTGAGAGGAAATTTAGGTCATAATCTAAAAAATAACGAAATTACAAACTAAAATCTGCCGTTTGTATAGCCGTCTGCTGCCGTCTGCCAGCTTGAAACCAGCGGTTGTCTGTGGAATATTTTTTTTTTTTTAATTTCTACACAAATGTCATGATTTTATAGCTGAACATTGGAGATAAGGCTCGGCTTAAAACAAAGAAAGTAATCAGTGGGTATCCTAGAAACATGACAATCAAACTCATTTTTGTTTAGGAGAGTATGCGTAGGAAAAATATCCAATTTTCTTTGTTTCGTAGGGACCCATATATTCTCTAAAAAAAGGTTGGAGTTTTCATATATGCTGTTGATTAAATTACCTACATATTTCGGCTAAACAAAATGGGAAGGAACTACACGTTTCTCAAGGAAATGGTTCTCTTCAAGATTTATTCGTTAACTCGGTGAAAATATTATAAACGAGAACTCCACCTCGTTTGAAAGAAAAAAATATTTGCTCAGGTTTCAGGGCTCTTTCCAAGTAAAAGTATTAAGGCGCTAATTGAGCTCGGTTCACCATTCAAATTTTATTTCTTAATTGCTCGATTAGAGCTTAATTGGGTGCTAATTGAATGAACTTTTTCGTGCAACGCTGCTGTTTGTTTCTGGTCCTCTTTTTTTTGCAGCTACTATTCATCAGGGAGGGAAAATTGAATTTTCAAATTGTACCCAATCTGCGGAAAAGCTTTACCTAAAAGCAGATAAATGTACCTAAAACGTAAATATGTATTTTTATATTTACATTTACATACAGTCTGCGTCAAAATTATACTAAAATTTAATGGGATACAAAACTGAATACCCAAAAAAATAAATAAAAAGTTAATTGACTGAAATAAATTACTGTCTGAACTAAATATAACATTTATTATTATTATTTACTTTATTTATTTTATTACATATCGCATATTCGAACTCCGTCAGACATAACTTCAAAATGATAATATAAAATTTCAATTTTTTTTTTTTGTCCTGAATTCGAAGAAGTATTTGCGAAGTGCAGGATATTTAAATAGAAACGCGTTTAAAGAAAACATACTCCTGCATTACTTGTCAACTAGTTTCAAGTAAGCTTTTTGTAGCTAACTACAAGTTATTCATTTTATAGAAATCCCGCAAAAAAGCTAACTACAAGTCGGTTATTTTTTATCAATTGGTAATTTTTTTCTGCGGGGTAGTTAATAATCATCCACCATTGTTGCCACTTATTGAATGATCTCGAATAAGTATGTATGCAAGTTATTTAGTTGTGGGTACCAAGAAATCTCATTTTAGGGGCGTCTTTGGAAAAGGGTTCCAACTAAAAACAAAAAAATAAAAAGGTATTATACAGAAAAAAAAAAATAATTTTTACTTAGCGTGCTGGTGAAACCGGCAGTTAAATTATGAAATGAAGGGAATCGGGAATACTTATATTTAAAAATATTTTTAAACATAGTTGCCACCCAGGCAAATATTTACAACCGAGTTTTGCCTTATTCGCAGTTGTTTGGAATTCAATTGAAAACTTGAAAAAACAAAATTAGACAAACTTTTTTTATTTTGCTGGTAACACTGCAGGGAAAATCTCAAGTTTTGGTATGAGACAAAAATATACCGAAACACGTAACCTTAATTTTGGGTATAAGATTAAATTTGTATTGTTAAAAGAAAGTGCGTTTTTGTTGAAATATGAGCAGGAAAAAATTTTACCATACGCCGCATCGTACTGTCCGCACTCGTACATTCTCATACATGGCGTTAAAGTTTGATTTTTGTTTTTTTATTCATTATGCAAACTCTGGATTGTAAATTTTTGACAACTATGAGGTGAAATATAATAAATGCAGTCCTAGAAGAATTCAAATCTGTAAAGACAAATATTTTTTTTTATATAATTGCTGCATTTTAATCAGTCAGCTTCTTTTGTAACAGAGTAACTTTGCAGCATTAAAAATTACGAATTGCCACAGCAGAAATGTAAAATTTTCTCACCATAGTAAAAAGTTTTTTCACAATAGAATTTTTCTACTGATTGGCACAGGCCTTTACAATGAAAATATCTTGGGGAAGTGACTTGTTATAGCAAACCGATATGCCGATCCGTGATCCACAACCCAAAAGTAAGTACGTGTCTCGGTGTTTTTTTTTGTCATTTTAGCGTTCCTTCACCAGTTCGGTACGAGTGGAGTTTTATCGAGTGTGAGTCTTCATAAAAATCTTGCGTACATACATATATACATATGTACTTGTGTGTAAACTGCATTACTGTGCATCTTTACGTATTCATTTGTATATATATCATTGTAAGTATATGCATTTCAGGATACATCAGGAAATTCACTTGTGAGGCATAGCTGTGGTTAAGCCATTGCATGCTTGCAATGTTTAAAGGCGAAAACTTATTAAACTAAACTTTGAAAGTGCATTCCAATGCAACTACTATCGCACGTAGATATGTAAATCGTATCAAAATATGTCGACGTGTATATTTCATATGGTTAACACACATGTTTTGTCGGTTGACAACAATATATATATTTATATACATATCATACATACATACATATGTACATATGTATGTAGTTGTAACATAGTGTCAGGATAACATATGTACGATCAAAGTAATTGTTGATTTCTATTTGCCTGCGTACAAGTAAATGTGCATGTAGGCCACAAAATTCAAAAACAATAAATGGCTGTCGCTTTTGGCATACAAATTTAATCCTTTTGTTTGTTAGAATCAAAACAATTTGCAAACAAGTCAATTATCTACATTTTTTTTTGTCATGCGATTGTAATCGATTTTATCTGACCACTTTTCATATTCCAACAAATTTTCAGAATTTTGTATTTATATTTATTTATTAATTCTTGTATCTTGTTTTATTTTCATTGCAGGAAGTTGGCAGCATTATTGGCAAAAAAGGAGAGATTGTGAACAGATTTCGTGAGGAGGTATTTGAAAAAATGAAATTGTTTTCCGCTCAAAATAAAAATTTTCTATGTTCAAAATCTCCTTACAGTCTGGCGCAAAAATCAACATCTCGGACGGTTCATGCCCGGAGCGCATTGTCACTGTATCTGGTACGACCAGCGCGATCTTCTCGGCTTTCACGCTCATCACAAAGAAGTTTGAAGAGGTAATGTAGTTGTGTTTATAGATTTCAACATAAGGGTGGCTGGTTAAAAATTTTAAGTTTTGATAAAAGTGCATTTCGGTTAATAATTTTTTTTTGTACTTATATTTATCTCTAAAACTCTATCCTCAAAACAGGCCGTGTTTACCTCACCAATAAAAAAAAAAACTCCAATGGGTATGCCTCCAAAATTTGATCCTAAAAGATTATAGAATCATTCATTATAGAATGCTGACTCTCAAAAATCGTTCAATGGCACATGTTGAGAGTGCAAATTTTGCTATCAAAACTACATTCGTTCGGAACAAAACAACTAAAAAGATTAATTAAAACAGTGTCAATCGCTGAGTATTTTTTCCGTAAGACAATTGTCTAATATTTACCAGCACGAAAATGTCTTCTTTTGAGCCATTTTCAAGCATGGAAGGCCAAAAGACTAACTTGGTCATATTGGACCGTGTGAATAAAAACTAAGAAATTGCTTTTTCTAAAGTTCCATACCTTTTACTTCAATTTTGCTTGAGTAAATCGCGTAAAAGGTGTGAAATTTTAAGAAAATCAATTGCCTATTTTTATTCATTCGGCCCATTTTCTCGTATTTTACGTCTCAAATTTGTAAATTTAAAAAAAACAACGTCTTTTTCATCTTTTTTTTTTTTTTGATCCACTAAAGCTATTCTCCGAGTTTATATTATGTTTACTTTTAATGTAGCGCTCAATGCCTGCAAAAAAAATGTCTGCTAAGGACTAGCTGAATTGTGTATAACCCCTCTACCGGCCTATTCCAAACCTTAGCCAAAAAGAATCGTCTAGCCAGTCTGCTCTGGCTGAAATGAATGACTGAATACACAGTGTCATATACAGAAATAAACATGCCTTTGCTGGCTTTATGAATTTCTAGGGCTTTTCGACAGTTCTAGTAATGGCAGAGTTGGCCAGGCATTTCGGCTACGAAGTACCTACGCCATACAGGTTGAGAATGCACTCGCAATGCTTGGAGCTAGGACTAATGTTGCTAGCCTTTGGAGTAGTGCTGTCTCTGTGAGGCCAGTTAAAGGGTTTGCGCGGCTTGTAATCTTCTCGATTGCCCTTCCTTAGGGAAGCTTAACGAATCAGGTATTCCGACGATTTCGTATACTGATGGTCTTTGCATTGCCATTGGTGGTAGTAATCAACAAGTGCTCTGCTGTCGGATGCAGTCCGAATTGGGTACTAGTGTTGGGGAGGTCTTGGGGTTCATTCCTCAACTGATTTGATAAATACTGACATTGTCAGGACGTATTTCCTATATTGGGCGGTAAGGGCTACTGCGCTGGATAAGTGACTGGAAAGGCTGTGGTACTTCATTTCGCTGAAAAGCTAGGATTATTGAGGCTGTTTCGGTATGTCATTCCTGATCAGACAAGAGTGCACTTTGTTAGGTGGGACGGGGTCGCATCTTATGCTATCTTTGTCTACACTGCACTCGAATGGACGCATCTCTTTCCCAAAACGGAATATATTTAACCCTCGTTCCCTCTTGGTGGAAACATTACCGTCTTTCAAAGAGTACAATTGGAGGTTAGATATCAATTCGTTCGGATAGCCAATCAGCTTTTGAGGTATGCTCGTCTGAGTGGGGAAAATTCAAAATTAGATGCGGCACCACAAACAGAGTAATCGTGCCATAGTCGCGACACCTGCCGACACTCTAAAATATTCTCTGACGCCCCACATTCCCTTTAACTAGTACGCTAGGAAAATCGGTATAAAAGATTCAGCTTTGATGTGAAATGTTACTCGAAGTCCGCAAGACTATGGAACGCAGTTGAATGTGCAGCATTCGATCGGATAAGGTATAGTACATATATGCTTCGGCGGACCAATCGTTATGGATACTGATCTCAGGGACCACAGCGTAATAAAAGTTCATTCTTTTACAAAAGCGACTTTCCGACATGTTGAGCTAGGGGAGGGCACTTTACTGAGGTAACTGCAATGAACCGACGTCAAAGTTACTGCGATAGGTCACTTTGGCGCCTAAAATAAAAAATATGCATGTTGTTGAATGAAGTGATGTATATTTTTAGGCTTTGTTTTTTTTCTAATCTAGCAAATTGTTAAGATTAACAAACATGTTTGCGTAATCAATAAAGAAGCCAATTTATAAAATTTCGAAACTCAGCAGCGAGAAATATTAATACCAAATTCGTGGTTTTACTGAAGAAGGGCTTTAAAGTGGTGGGACCCAAGCCCAGCGCGCACGAGGTTTCTAGCCTTCTCAGTTTAGACCGCTATCAAACGGGTGTTTAGTCGGTACCAAGAGCTTTCCGAACTTATGTGTACTTCTGCGCACGGAACCATCCTCCATTACCCAAACTCCTACACAAAGAATTTATTAGTATTAGAATCGTTTTGAGACGCTTTATAAATAGAAAATTTTTATTTTGTGAAAATTCAAATCTATAAATTTTAGTTTTTTGAACATACATACATATGTATGTACATAACTTTAAATTTAAAAGCTACTTTTGCGTATAATGGAAAGTACATATTTTTCTCTAAATAACACCGCCACCTTTTTTCTATCTTACCATTACTTGTTTGCATATTTAATACTTACAATTCTTTTTAGTGGTGCTCACAGTTCAGTGATGTTGGCAAGGTTGGCAAAACTCAAATACCGATACGTTTAATTGTGCCCGCCAGTCAATGTGGATCGTTAATTGGTAAAATACTTGCACACGTACATACATATATACAAACATAGTTATCTTTTCTAACTAGGCACATTTGCAATAATGTAATTGAAATATCTTCTCTTTTTTTTGCTTTCTCTATTTGCCCTCCTCGCCATCTCTATGCAGGCAAAAGTGGCTCAAAAATCAAGGAAATACGTCAATCCACTGGCTGTTCGATTCAGGTTGCCAGTGAAATGTTGCCAAATTCAACAGAAAGAGCCGTTACTTTGAGCGGCACTGCCGAGCAAATAACCCAATGTATCTATCAGATTTGTCTCGTTATGCTGGAGGTGAGTATTGAATTAAAGTGCTGGCATAGTTGAATGGCATACACACATAGATACACACACTTACGCGCAAACCTATAGGCTGGAGTACTTACTTAGATGCAAAATAGTTAAAAAATACCTATGCATTATAAGTGTAGGTGAGTTCGGCTGTGTATACGTGTGTGTGTGCCAGTATAAATGCACTTTGCTCGATTTAATTAAATTTGCTATGTATATTCTCTAAACCCCCTATGCACACATACACACCTCGTTTCGTCGTTGTCGTAACAGTCACCACCAAGGGGAGCCACCATACCGTATCGGCCAAAACCGCAAGTATCTGGACCAGTCATTTTGGCAAACGGACAAGCCTATACCATACAAGGCAACTATGCTGTACCCGCACAAGAGGTAAACTGACCGCACAAAACACCCATTTGTTCATACAAACATGCCTATGTAAGATATCTTATGAAATAATACACATACATGCATAACTAAACACCTGTGCGCATACATAGACAAACACACACACACAGACGGTCAGAGTCACAGAATCGCCATACACACAGTGCACTGCATTGGCACGCCAAGCTCATTTTACGTATTATCAATTAATGGGCGGGTGAATTTGGTGAAGCGTGTGGGTGTGGGGCGTGCATGTGTGTGGATGAGACTGCCTCTGTGTGTATAAGTGTGTGTGCGTTTGGCATTGGCATAAAGGAGCTGTACTACGTGCATACCACACATATGTAGGCGCATACTACATATATACATTTATATAATTATGCTTTCTACTTATACTAGCTGCATAAATATGCATTTGTTTATGCCACACATACCTCCTCAAGTACCAGCAAATATACATACTTACATTCTATAAATGTACGTGGTCTGGTCTCTGCCATTCGCTGCCTTTATTCGCCTTTAACTAGTTTTCTTTTACACTCCCCACACTTTTATTGGCGTTTACTGACGTGTTGCTAAACGCCCTTACCTCTTTTTTTTGCGCTCAAGTAAGCAAGCGGCAAAAGCAGCCTCCAACGTCAGCAGCGCCATATAAATAAAATTAAATTTTTCATCGTCTATCTATGTATTTTTCTTAGCAAATATGTGCCTATTTTTTATTTGACTACTACTTTTTCTACCTCTACTTTTTACTTTTTTTTGCGCTCCACAGTTGCCTCTTATAATGTAATTTTACTCCTTATTTGTCCGTTACAAATTATTTACTTTTGTCAACTAAGTTTGTGCTTTTCATACTTATTTATACACATACAATTAACGTACTTACATTTATATATTTTCTACATACATACATATGTATATTTATAATCACAATTTTTGCTATCATACATTAATAAAAAAAAAAATTATATCTCCGCTCCGCTCTATGTCGCTGCCCACTCCACTATTTTCTCTATTTATTCTACCCACTTTACTCTACACATATATATCACTTTTCTCTTCTGTTCCGCTCCGCTCCGCTCCTTTTCTTCTCTCTGGTCTTACGTTCACGTGTAATATGGTTCTATTGCCGTTTGTTTTCCCTTTTTGCCTTTTGTCATATTTAATTTTATTTCTTTAAACGTTTTGCTACTTTCCACTTTAATCATCTAACCACATCCAAATTAAGTTAAGTTTTAGTGTCCATATAGATAATTTGATCACCTTAAAGGAAAATAAATGTACTTTTTGGTATCGGAACATGAAGTGAAAAATAGTCCAAGCCTCAATTAGTATTTGACTAATGCAATTTTGAAGAACCGATTAACAAAACTCTTTCTCTCATTCGTAAGAAAGAAGCAATACTGAAAATTAAATTGAGAACAATGTGAAAACAACATAAGGTAAAAAGGTTTGAATATAAATCTCAATATAGCAGGCATGCCTTAAGGGTTACTTGTGCCTTAAAAATTAAAAAAATATACTCTCACTACAAAACGTTTCCGTACAATAATCGATTTTTTCATAAAAAAAAAATCGTTAATTCTTTGTAAAAAAATAGTTCATTTTGTAATATAAACCGGTTAAGCTAGCGCTAACTTACTCTTTAAATTTACAGTGACTCAAACAAATGACCACGTGTTGTTTTTTTTAATATTCGTTTGTTATATACATATAAATCACCGTTTCAATCTTTATACTCAATTTAGGAATTTCAACAAATTAATTAATTAATTTAACTTTTTAATCTGAATCTTTACCAAATTTTTGGGTAAGCAGTTTTATAGCTCATACAGTTTTAGTGGCATGAGGTGCAAGTTTCAACCGGCTAAAAAATCACGTTAATTTTTAAGTTTTTTTTTTGCTGCTTTTTAGGTTTTTTTTTATATAACAAGTGCAACTTACAAAAACTGGCGTTTATTTTATGAAATTTTGTTGGATACTAAGCTTTAGTACTCATCACGTCAAGGATCTCGTTTGAGTACCGACACATAGTGGAGTCAGTGGAGGGGGCTACCCAGTGATTCATAGTCCCAGGACCCTCTATCGGCCTACTATAGAGTTCCTCCTTCGGGGTATGTCCTTAAATCCGAAAATATCAACAGCCGAAGAACTGCTTAAGCTTAGTAGGCGCGAAGTAAGAATTGCTACATAAAGAATTTTAAATTAGTAAAATAAAACAGAAGAAGAAACATTAAATAATGTAATTCAAACGTCCTCTAATGCAAAGCTTCCAGGAAACTTGCCTGAATTTCATAAGAATTTCATGTTTATATGAAAAAGAATGCGAAAATCCGTCACCAAAAAAATAATCTCAGAAATCAACGGGATTTTTTAGACCCTTTGAAACTTGCACTTCGTGGACGGTATTTTTATAGAGATATAAAAAAAATTATCAAAAAAAAATTAACACTTTGTAATTTTTTGTGTCACTGTATAATTCATTGATAAGTCTAATAGATTAAATAAATAAACCGTTAAATATAAGATTCAACCTTAATCTAAAACTTGGAAAAATTTGCCAAATTTTGAGCAAAATTTCAAACTTTTTGGTCAGAATTTGAAAAAATAAAATGTTGGTGTGTAGATCGGGCTATAAATCTGCACACCATTTTTTTTTTTTAACTCTGACCAAAAAGATTGAAATTTTGCTGAAAATTTAAAAAATTTTTCAAAGTTTAAATTTTAATATTATAATGTCCTGAACTTGCTAAAATCCCCTTTGATTTGCGATAATTTTTTTCTGAGTGTAAATTACAAAAAAAAAATCAGTGTTGCTTTTGAATTACTATCCATTCCCACCCTGACAAGTCCATTTTTTTGTGTCCTTTTAGTGCATACAAAATTTCTGCCTACCCTCCACTTTCACTAATCGTCTATGTCGAGGCATCAAAAGACTAATCGAATTTGCTATGTATTTTAATACAAACAAAGAATAAATAGCAAGAATATTTTTGATTACTTATACTTTTTTCTTTTTTGTATTTTGTTTAATATTTTCTGCACTTTCTCTTAGGATAAGTTCAGCGTCGTTACACTTTGTCGTTACGCTTGTTCGTTCGTTCGCTCGCTCGCTAGTGTAAGAAAACAAAAGCCTATCTCACCAACATAAAAACTGAACAGCAAAATTTTACAGAAAGAAAAAGTCAAAGTTAAAGGGCTTTAGTGGATTTACTAAAAACGATGAAAAAATAAAAAATACCTACTATAAAGTTGTTTAAATGTACATACATAAAAGCCACCGCAGAATATGTGTAACAAAGGATTGGTTGAGAGAGTGAGAGAACGCAAGTAACAAACACAAAAAAGCGATTTCGCGTCAACTTGCTTAGTTGGTACACACTCTTGGTTGAAGGATATGTTCAGCAAAAATACCGTTTCACTCTTCAACTCTGCTCTACTCTGCTCTCGTTCGTCGACTTAGTACGGGGCCCAAGGGAAACTTGAATTAGTGGCTATGAAAAAAACTTTAACTGATATCTACTGTTAACTCTGCTTGGTTAGCACGAGGGCTCGTGTGCAGTTGGAAAGTATGTGTATTTTGTTTACTACAATCAATCTCCCCACTTCACTACTTGTTATTTTGTTTTCTACCTTAATTACACCTTTTTGAAAAAAAAAAGAATAAATCTACAGAAAATTACCTTACCAGCAAATGCTCCATCGTTTAAATTTTATATAATTAATGGTATATTTATATAATACCACATACCTTCACCAATCCAGTCCACTACTTGCCTACGAAGGTCTCTATAATTTTGTTAGTAAAATGCTCATTGTTCCACCAAGACACGGCAGAATTATAAGAAAACAAAAAAAGAACTACAAAAAATAAACGTTTATAAAAATACTTCTCATATATTTTAATGGTACTCTCCCACATTTACTTATGTTTAGTTTGTTAAATGTCAGCCATACTTAGTATTACCGCAATGATAAAAAAAGTATAACAACTTTAGTTACAACTTTAGTTACATTTTATCACCACGAAATAAAGCATTTTTAACATTAAATATTCATTGAAAGTAAAAAAATAAAAATATACAATATTTACCTGCCCGAGCCCTCACACGCAATTTTCTCAAATATTTTAAAGTAACCTCTTTTTTCTTTTAAGACCTTCTGTAGCCATGCAATTTCTTTACCAAGATTTTTAAAATTCCCTTGTCTCATTAGAAATATCGAATAAAAAATTAACTTCAATACCAGTATCGGCCATGCCATCCTCACTATATGTGCATACATACTTACATACACTCACTCCACTACTAGAACAAACAAATCCTGATGGCCACTGACTTATTTACATATGTAACTACACAATGCAAGAAAACTTACTTAAACTGACATTTTAACAGCTTCACTTGTCATGGTGAATTCCGTTAGTCTTCCTAGTACCGCTATTTTCTTAGTCATGTCCTTCCTTTCTGGGTCGTTTATTGAAAAACATATTAGTTTCGTGTCTATTTCGACATCCACTAAGGCCACTCGATTTCTATTCCTCACTGTGTCCCTCATATCACATAGCCTAACTGGGTTGGTCAATCGTCCGTTCTGTATCACTTTTTGTTGCTCATTTCGGCTAATTTAGTAGGTTTATTAGTACCAGAAGGTGGGTAAGTCCGCAACCTTACATTGCAGCATAGTCTACCCCCTACTAAAATAGTGCTATAAATTCCTTTTTATCTTTAGAGAAACTACGTCAAAGATGCTAAAATGCCTGGTGTAACCATTGCATACCTTTACCGATAAATTATTGTAGGCTCTATGAGAACTTCCTTTATCATATAATATTCACTTACTAATCCTCCTGCTGAGTTTTCATGAGATATATTGTTTTCTTTATAACCGTAACATTTCCTTCCGTCTTTGCAAACTATCGACTTTTGAATTATTCAGGCTGATTTTCAATTTCCAAATACATATCTGTCTTCGTATGGAATTAGTGGCTTATATCGGGAAGCTGGCTTTAGTATAATGCGGCATTCCCTTCATTCTTTAAACGACAAGGAATTTTTAGATGAGACTTAATGAGACTTGCTAATACCGGAACTATTTCCGCACGTTTTTTTTTTTGCAAAAAGTTCTTCAACGGCTCGGCGCAAGTGAGTCAATCGCAATCGTATGCTGCGAATGCCGCGATATACTAAAGCCAGTCTTTCGACATAAGCTACAGTTCAGTGTGCACCAAAAATATTTTTTGTTATTTCTACACTAACTTACCTCTTAAAGGATTTATCAATTGCCCTTAGATTTTCCAATAAGAAAAATGTCCCTATATTTGTTCGGCTTATTTGAAATTTCCCATCATTTTGTTGTTGTTTTTTCGTCACAAAATTTCCCCGTATTTTTCAAATTTCCTGTTCTTTCTCCAGGAAAACAAATCCAGTACTTCGCTCTCGCGTCTCTACTACTTAAATTTTAAGTTTCCCATTATTTCTTCTCATAAGATTCCTTTAATGCTTTATTATAATTGTTTCATATTTTCATCGCATCTGATGCTCAAAATATATTTCTTGGATTCTTTTTATTCGCCACAAACTTTCCCCATATTTCATAAAAAGTTGCAACCCTTTAGTAAACTTCAATTTACATCTACATTTGTGTACAGATCACATCAAAGTCTATTAATGTCGTTTAGTATACTCAAAATTTTTATGTGCGAAATTCCTATATATCAGCTTAAAAGTTCACTATTTAAGCATTTTATGTACGTAAGTAGAATATAAGTTTACCAGAGATATCACTTTTAATTGTTTACAAAAATTTCCCATTTTTTAATATATAATAATTTGTGATAGAACTTACCAGACCAGAATATATATCAGTCTAAAAGGATTTACGAAAATCTCATATGAATTCAGACACATATCCATGTTTATAGGTCATCAAAAATGTCCATTATTTTTCAAACAACATAATTCTAATTTCCCATTAATATTACTGAGTTTAAAGGGCGCTTATCAAAAAAATAGTTTTTATTAGTTACAGTCACTTTCCTTTAGTTTTAAATTAAAAACTTTCGAGTCTAACAAAACAGCCAGTATTATTTAATGCCACGGAAAAAAAATCCTATTATCTAAAAAAATAAAATGTGTGAAGTCGTCATTGTATCCAACTGCCAACAGATTAGCATCAACGCTCTACATTTTTTTCTAATAACAAAACATCCTTAAAAACATCCTCTATTTTTACATAAGCAACCAATTCTCTGCCGCCTTGGAAACTATCGTATAATTGTTTGTTTGCATTACCTGGGTAGTAAACTCTCACTTTTGATACCAAAAGGCCATCAACTCCCTTACCAATCCTGTTGATCACATTATTTCTGTGGTGGGTTATTTCCCAGTAATTGCCTATTTACATAAAAGTAAACAAGACAAAGAATTTCCTGCACTATACCAAGGAAATGCATCGTACTTCTATATATAAATGCTCCTCAGACCTTTATTTGTTACATTGAAACGGGGTTCTTTTTCATGGTGATTAGTTTTCTGCAAAAATATCCCAGTATTTTACACCCTACGCCCGTACTGCATATCTACCTTTTGGTAATTTTTTTCTATGTATTAAAAGTCAATTCTCATACTCGTATCATTTCCACAATTACCTTCGCTCTTTTTTTTGTAAATTTGATTACCCATATAGCATATTTTTTATTCCTCTGGGTTGAACTATCGATTCCTTTTTAATCATTTTCCAGTTTAATTTAATTAACCCTATCCCACTCACAGCTGTGAGCCCCTTGACCTTTCCACGGCCTAGATAGTTGGAAAAAAAAATTATAAAACTAGTATATATTTTTTTACTGCCAAAAGAGATCTCTTTTTTAATTACAACACATATTTTCTTTGTATTCTTTTCTTATTGTTGTTATTCGTGCAAAAACAAAATCGAAAATCGTTTAACTCACCAACAACAACAAAATGTATATTACTTCTGCTACTACTACTCGTTACTACTCACCACCACCACAACCACCATCACTACCAACGCCAAAATCTCTTCTACTACCACCACAACTGCGGTGACCGTCACGTTCGTCTTTCTGCTGGTGCATATTGGCAATTATGAAAAACATTTTTATACAAAAATATCGTTTATGGAATCGCTAACCAAAACCAAACAAAAAAAGACATGCCCAGTTTTTCCACTGGCCTTGGCCACCGGTGGCCTACACGCTGGTATCTCAGGTTTGACGGATCCTCTCTTGAAAGGGGCACATTTGCAGGGAGCGGTGCCGGCAGCCCACCATCATCTACAGCATATACCCGATGTGAGTTGCATTTGTATATTACAACAACAACAAAGACAACATTTCAAGAGAAACCAAGCTTACCAAAAAGCAAAACAAACGAAATAAGAATAAATCTTGGAAAAAAGAAAGATTTGTTATGAAAGTTGTGCTATTGTTTCGCTATGGTTAACATACTTTATGAAATTATTTTGGCAAAATGAAAATCCCCTTCGCTAAACAGGTATTTTATGCGCACCCCTCACTTTCCTCACCACACCCCACACCCAACTCTGTTTAGTAACTGGCTTTTATGATCGTCACTTGAATAGCGATTTCCAACACCCTTGAGTAAAATGTGTATGCTGCCCTAGTATCCGACCTAGACCCAGACCCCGAACCCGCCACCGACCTTTGTTTCCGCATAGTTAGTTGTGTTACCGTAGTTGTCAAATATAGTACATAGAGCCCCCCCTCCGTTACCGGCTGAAACGTTTGTTAAAACTAAATAACATCTTCAATTTTGCTTCATGCTTTTCCCTTTTACCCCCGGTTGTGTTTAGGTTTGTAACGAAATGTTGGTGTTATTTTCACTGGTTTTGTGTTTTGCATACTTACATATCCCCCGATTCCTGGAATGGAGTTATAAGACTTGTGCTATGTTCAATGTCTAGCGATGTAGTTTACACTGTGTATTATAAGTATGGAAATTTATGCTTGAACAATTTTTTTATTTATTTAAAATAAAGAACGCATAGATATTTTAATATAGTTATGTATGTACACCTGCGTTTAAAAATTTAAAACATAATTCAATCTATTACAGAAACCACATAAATAAAGCTCGCACAAATTTCAAAAAAAATATCATCAAAATTTCCAAATTTGTGATCAGAATATTTAGAAAATTTTCGGATATGCAGTTTGTAGCCCATTCAATTTTAGTCTAATAAAGTGCAAGTTTCATGTCGCTGAAAATTACCGTTGATTTTTTTGGAAATTTTCATGACAATTTTTTTTTATGTTTGATTAACTTTTTTTTTAATTTGTGCAAGTTTTGAAACTTTTATTTATGTGGTTTTTAGAGCACTTAATCAGATTTTATTTTTAATTGGTTTAACGATTAATGATTAAAATTAATTAATCGTAATCACAACCGACGATTAACGATTGAAAAAATTTAATTATTAATCGTACAGATGATTACGATTAATTAATTTGAATCGTTAATCGCGATTAACATTTTTATCGTTAATTTTTAATCCTTCATCAGATTTACATTTTGCAAACACTGGTTTCTGTTATAGATTGAATTATGTTTTAAATTAAAATTATTGGAGATAATTAAAGTTGAACGCAGGTGTATCTACTGATACAATGAAAATAACAAAAAAAAAATATTCCACAATTTATAATAAAAATTTCATGTTAAGATACGAAATTTAAAAGGTACTATTTAAAAATAATAAATGTCAGACGATACAAATTTTCATTTTAGAACCAGTTAGACCGTACCACACTGGGGATTTGGCGGTGAAAATCAAATTTGCAACATACCACCTACGCAATGTCTAATGGTATTTCTAAATTCCAGAATAGAACCTACAATAAAATCAGAAAGAACTACTGTAATCCGACCAATAGTTTTTTCTATAGATATTTGAAAAGTATCATTTGTTTGTAGTATTTATTAAATTGACCGAGAAAAAAACTTCAAACTCTAAAGTTGATTTTTTTTCTTTTGCTTGAGCTGACTTCTATTTTTTTTATTTTTCCTTTAAGTCACGATATTTTATCATGCTATAACCGAAAGAACAAAGGCTGTGAAGAATTTGGTTATCTAACTATAACTAATTTTACGAAAGTATAAACAAATCATGAAGTTAGGCTACATTTGCCTACAGTCAGAGACTACTGGCAACATGTTACTTAATAGCTACTCTTTCAGTTTAAGTAAATTCCAGCTGTCACTTGTTATTTCTCATATTATCATCGGTGCGTTTTTTATGGCATTTAATGTGATTTTTAGGTTAGGTTTGTATGGGAGGTAGCTTTAAATTAAACCGATCACGGTTATTTTCGTTTTTTTCTTGATTTGTATCCACAAATGTTACATACGAAAAATAAAACCTTATGCCGTACATCCCTTAGTCTAAGCCATTTTTTCAAGACGATTTCGAAAAAAAAAAATTTTGGCGAAAGTTGGTTTCGCGTTTTTACATTTTTCGTCATACCTTCGGTCGTGAGGGAAGGGGACAATTTGTTTGCTCCAAACATCATTGACCTCGAGCACCCCATTCTGGTACTTACCAACCAAATCTCAGTTTTTTTTTTTTGCAAATTTTCTTGCAAAAATAATACCTGCTGCACACAAGCCGTTTTTAACGCTGTTATTCTTCGTTTCACTGATTATTTAAATAATTTTTTTAATCAATCATATCTTTCAAATTCCAAAGTCACTTTAAAAAGAATCCAAAATCCAAATTAAAAACGCAGTTTTACTATACTTGATGCCTAGTTTTATGAGTACATTGACTTCTTAAACTATATTTTAACTTTGTAGAAAAATTCTACACAATTTTTAAACAAAAACGAACTTTTTAATAAGTGGCTAGGAATACGCGTTGATTTTTGATAATTTTTTTTTTTCGGAAGGTGTTATTATTTTCTTCCATACAGCAAAAGGTAAAAAATCAACGCGATTTCTTAGCCACTTGAAACTTGCACTTTCTGAAGCTAGATTGAAATGGGCTATAAAACTGCGTGCTTACATTTTAAAAAATTATTAATAAAAAGTTTGTTGTAAAATTTTGTTAATATTTCTCTAAGATTTGAAATTTGGACTTATATGGCGTTTGTCAGGTAATGAAAATAATAAACGTTAAACAATCAAAAGAACAATAGTCAAAACTGTTCGAAATCTCGTGTCCATATAATTTCTCACATGACTACATATATTTATATATACCACAAAAAGTCTAAATGTTGCTTATACGCCACATCAATGCAGTTACTTATTTCCGTCTTGTGTTACAGAATTGCGATTCTGATAAATGAATTGAAATAATCAAATTTTTCATAAGTCAAGCATAAATTTCCATATTTTTCACATTTTTTCTACCGTTTATTTGCTCTCCTGCATTCTGTGCACCCCCAACCTGCCCAATTACTATATATGTATATGTACATCAAATTTAGTAATTTGTTGTTTATGTATCAAGTATGTTCTTGTGCTCATTATTCTAAATAGAATGTTCTTGTTGTTAAGTACCCTGGAATGTGCCCTGTTCCCCATAATTTACCCTTGTATTGTACTTAGTTGTAATCTCAGTTATTAATGTGCTTTGATGAGCCACTTGCACAAGCGTAGTGCATACGTACCTAATTACATACAATTTTTCCCCCTTTTAATGGCTGCTATCAACTATTTGTTCATATTTTTCTACAACTTTCCGAAGACATTGAGCTGCATCTGCGCTCTTTTCGCCTTCTTCTTAACATCTTACATTTCATTGTTACTTATCTGTATTTAGCGCATGTTTTATATTTTTCCGTTGGCTTTTTTTAGTTCATTCCATTTTTTTTTCTAAAACTCACTTTATAGCTATTATAGAAATGAATTTTAGGGTTGGTAAATACCAGTCGGCGATGGTTTTATGTCTGAGCTGGAAAATCCGCTAAATTTTAACAAGATAATTTAGGCTTTTGAGTTCAGATTATATGTTTTTCAAATTAAAAAACCGGGATCGGATCAAATATTTAATCGCGCTTTATTGTGATACATATATTAGAACACTCACAACAACTCATAATGATACATATGTATATGGATAATACCACGTCTAAACGCATGTGGCTCTGCTCAAAAATTGTGGAGAGCTATCGTTATTTTTAAGACGTGAAAAGTTAGGTATTTTTATGTAGAATCGAAGGTTATGTGGCGCTTATAAAACAAAAATAACCATTCGGTACTAAGTCACCATTTTCCGACCAGTCTCCCAAAAATTTTCCTATGAATCGTTTATGAAAATCCAGATAAACGACAAAAATCGTAACAAATCGTCACTGAATCCGAGTCTTGGATCAGTTTGGTCTGATGAGGTCTGTAACGGGGACATTTGGAGGTAAAAAAGAAACAGATAGTTACGGTAGAAGCCTCCTATTTAGTGTCTTTTTCTGATTTTGGCCTTCACACAACCGCCATACTTACCTCGTGAGACCAAACTGATCTCGGATTCGGGTTCAGCGACCCCAAAAACAAAAAACTTTTACGATTTATAGGAAAATTTTCGGGAGACTGGTCGGAAAATGGTGACTTAGTACCGAATTGTAATTTTTTTTTTTATAAGTGCCACATAAGCTTCGATTCTACATAGAGATACCTAACTTTTCACATCTTAAAAACAACGATAGCTCCACCATTTTTGGGTAGAACCCCTTCGTTTTGACGTGGAATGACCCATATGTATTTTAATCCATTTCTGTCCATCCCCTAAGTTTATTTAAGTTAGGTAGACTGAATAGATACTGAGCTCATCTTTGACGGCACAAAATGAGATTTTTCCAGTAAGGCAAATTAACTTGGGATAATCGCAACTTAACCCAGCGTTACCTAAAAAGCAGAATTTTTGTGGGCAAATGCCCGATTTCATACTTTCAAAACTAGAAATCTCTAGAAACTGTAAGGTATGAGGTTTGAAATAAAAGGAACCAATATACCAAACCTAATGGTTGAGGGTTAATATAAAATGTGTTCCATATAGTGCTTTCTTTAAAAAAAAAAATACAAAAATCCCTTTTTTTTCTGTACATTGTTGCTTTGTTCGCAACATTCCCATAATTTATGTGGCTACCTCGCCTTTCTTCGCAGTAGCGCATCCTGTAAACCCAGTTACCAAAATCGCATTTACGGTTTCTGACTCTATATCACACGAATGACTTCCTCGACATTCCCTTTAAGGGTCTGAATCGTTAATGAATTGTTCGTGTAACATCGGCCCTTTATGGTATCCCATAAGTTGATAAAAGTTGAACGACGTGAAATCGCAGCTTCGAGGTCGCCGAAAAATATCGATTTTGGCATGGGCTGTGCGGCATGGCGAGCCATCCTGCTGAAACCATAGATCGTCCCAGCCCATGTCTCGCATTTTCGGCCACAAAAAATCGTTTCTCATTTCTCTGTAGCGCAAACCGTTGCCAATGGTGCCACCGCTCTAAAATCTGCACCAAACTGTCACGCTCTGCGGATGCATTGGCTTCTCCAATATCAAGTACTGCTTTCCGATCCCAAGATGCGCAGTTTTGCTTGTTAATATAGCCACTGTTATGAAAACACGCTTCGTCAGAAAAGATGTTTTTTCAAGAAAAATCGTTGCCAATAAATTTGCATCACTTTCCAACGTTTTTCAAACATAAAGCGCTTCATTTTGTTCAACGGATATATGATACTGGGCTCGAATCGTAACAGTCGTGAACGAGCAACTCGTCACGAAAAAATGCATATTTTGGATTATAACAGTCGTGAACGTACTGCTTGTCTCGTATACGGAATTGCGACCGTATACCACACCTTTGCGCATTCAACGAGTAAATAGCAGTTTTTGATTGAAAAGCTAATTTTTAGGGACTCGACTGTAAAAGACAACTTAAACTGTTATGCAATAAAGTCAAATTCGATCTATTCAAAAATCTTAGAATTCATTAGAAGCGGTAACACATTGAAATAAGGTATTAAGAAACATCGTTTGGAGTACAAGGAAATGACAATCTCCACTCAATTCCAGACAATTTCTTCCTGAACAGCCTAATGCCGAATTTGCACTAGGCATTAAAATGGCAAAAAATGTATTCCATTTATAAAAGGCTATGTTGAAAATTTGGCCATTTAATGCCTGGTGGAAACTCAGCATAACTCATTTCACGGATTATACCTCATTCTAACATTAACATCTTTTTTAACTTCTTCTAGAATTAAAATATAAACTCCTTTACATATCCATGCTGTAAAATGTTTCCTATAATGCCACTCTGTTAACTTATTCTGCTGTAGTTCTACTTACTATCCATACTACCTACTACCCTGCTGTTAAGTTTAACATTGAAGTATTAAGTCTACACTGGGAAAAAAGTTTAGTTATGTCGGCTAAATACAGCGACTGAACCAAGGGTTCGCACGTTAATTTTTTTTTTTTTTGTTTTAATATTGACAATGTTTTGTTTTTCTATAAAAATATTGTCCAAGCTTAAACCAAAACCATATAAATCAAAAGGGCCAAACTTTATAAAAAAAAATGTAGAAAATTCAACAAATTTTCATTAAAATTTCGAGCTTTTTAATCTGAATCTTTAGAAAATTTGTGGGTATGCAGTTATTTTATAATTTTGAAATTATAAAAAATCAACGCAATTTTTTAGACGCTTGAAACTTGCACTTCATGAGACAAAAATTCTCTAGGCTATAAAACTGCATACCCAAAAATGTGATGAATCACATTACCGTTGATTTTTGGCAATTTTTTTCCACCTCTACTCGGACTCCGTCCAAACCAGAAGCGATAATCTTCCCGCGAAGCCAAAGCCGACTTTTCTGCGAAAAGCAATTAATTGCGTTTTAGTTTTGGCTTTGATAATTCAAAGGCTGTAGTCGCTGCTTGCATAAGTTGTTCGAAAGTGTCGAACTGGTAGGCCGTCTCTTTAGCTCATACCAGTTATTGAACTGTTATTTTTACCGACTAGTTTGGCTTTACACTGCAGGGCAAATAGCATATAAATGCTAGTAAAACTAATACTCGGTTATTTTGAATTTAAATTCTTTGTTTATTTCTAACTGTCAAATGCATTCTAACACCAACTTATACAAATAAATTCTGTTGCTGCTAAACGCCTTATACTTGTTGTGTTCGTTTGCTCTTTTGTAAATATGTATATTTTCGTACTAAATGTAGTGTTAAACAATTTTATTTTTTCACTTTCAATTGCAAAGCAGTGCGTTTTTTATATATATTACTGAAGTGGTTATAAATTTTTTTAAACAATACATGTCTTTCACTAAAAATATACTTTAATTAATCTGTAAATTTTGTATTTATTTTCCTTTTTCCCCACACGCTTGTCGCTCGCTCACTATCGTGCTTCCATGATGCGCTAGGTGGCAAAGAATCCATTGGCTAGCTTGGCAGCGTTGGGTTTGGCTGGCATAACACCAACCAATACAGGTGGACTCAATCCCACAGGTTAGTTGTAATTACTTATTGTCAGCTATGGAATTTCACTAATTTTATTTTTATTTTTTTTCTCTTTTTCCACCCTTTCGTTGCGATTTAAAGCAGCTTTGGCCGCACTCGCTGGCTCGCAGCTGCGTACAGCCAATGCAAGTCGCACGCAGCAGCAGCAGCATGAAATGACCGTGTCCAATGACTTGATTGGCTGCATTATCGGCAAGGGTGGCACAAAGATTGCCGAAATACGTCAAATTTCCGGTGCAATGATACGCATTTCGAATTGCGAAGAGCGCGAAGGTGGCAATACCGATCGTACAATCACCATTAGCGGCAATCCGGATTCGGTGGCATTGGCTCAATACTTAATCAACATGAGGTGAGTGAAAATAATGCAAATTTTTAAATGTTTAATAGCATTTGAGTGAAAGCAAGAAAAAATACGAATTTAATTGACCATTAAAAATTGCTATTAGTTGATTTGTAGTATTTTTAAGAATATACAGTATTTTTGAAAAATATTTTATTATTCTAAAAAAATCAATTAAAGTATTACTATTTTGTCGAATTGAATTGCAAAATGAATACACAACACATATTGTATGCTGTATTTAATGACTAAAGTAATTGATTCACAAATACACCCACTCAGACACCATACACCGTACGCTCAAACAATCAATCAGTCGAATAATCAGTCGAACAATTAATCGAGCAAACAATCAATTAATCGAGTTGAAAAAACAAAACGAATCAAAACAAATCAAATCTGTAACTTTTGTAATTTCACAATTTGAATTTAACTCTAAGTAATATACTGAATTAACATTATGCGGTATAAGGAGGTTCTTTGATGATGATAGCACATTCAAAAAAATATATACTATACAATCTATATAACATTGAAACAAAACAAAGCGTTCAAAAATGTCACAAAAACCTTTTAGACTCTGAAAAAAGTTAGCTGTATATTATTTCTACTAACTTTTAATACCAAAAAATGCATAGCTGTACAACAGCTGTCTTAAGCGTTGTTTTGTTAGATTTAAGCTACTACATGTTGAGCGCCAAGCTCACTACAGCCACCGTAACTAAGGTCAAAGGTTGATTTAGTACCTAACTCATACTTAAACTATTTACCTTGTACTAAGTCTCTTGTATAACTTTTAATTTGGCAGTACCACTGTTTTACAAGCAGAAACCGGCATGCACATACGATAATTGTGCAAAATATTTAGTAATAAATTTTGAAAAAAAAACCAATAGCAAGTAATAATTTATGGAAAACCCAAAAAGTGAATACTTTTTTAAACCTAATAAAATTTGTACTTTTTATTATCAAACTTCTAACAACCACTCTTTCCTTGCACCAATTTTCCACAGTCACAAAAAAGTGAGAGAGAAAGAAATTCCCATTTTTTTATAGTTTACTTTCCTCTTTGAGTTACTTATGCACCCAAATTAATATCCACTTATTTCTCAACAACATTTCGTTTAGCGAAAAAGTTGAAACGTAATCCACTCCGTATATTAAATATTTTGTTTTGAGTCGTTAAAAAAAAAGAAAAAAAAACAATAACCTTAATTAATTTTAGCCGAACATACATTTTATTTAAATAAAACGAAGAAAATTTTGTTTAGTAAAATCCACTCATTTCAAATCATCTCAAAAATTAAAAAGAAAAGCACTGGAATAGCGTGTTTCTAACCATAACCTCAAATTCCATACACATTTTGTTCGAAGTAACTCAGAACAGTAACGTACCGTACCCTAAACAGTCCACCCACCCAATCGTAATCAAGAATCCTGCAAACACTTACTCGCTACTAATAATGAATGACCCACCACTCCATAATACAATATTTTGTGCAATCCAAAGCCCATTGTGTGCGTACCTTCTATAGCCTAATAATTTTGCAAAACATCAAAAATTTCTGTGAAATGAAAATCCAGCCTCATTTCACGGAAAGGGCCACCCCCTCATACCACACCACAGCAAATGAAATGATAAATCTGCATATGTATGTATGCACGTATCTGCCCCATCACCGAAAACAATTCATTCCTTCCGCAACTCCTAACCCAAAAAGTTTTCAGCAAAAATGAAATACGTCAATTTTCATTAGAGATGAAAATTAAAAATATATATACAATCCTCCTTTCGCCATATTATCATACCTACTCTAATCGACCCGTTCATACATTGTAATTGTATATACTTTGTAGTGTTGGTATGTATGTATGCATGTAGAGATTAGCTGTTTTTTTTTTTAACCATCATCCATCGCGCTATGCCCCATACCCATCACAAAATCAGCAACAGAAAAAAAACCCAACAAAAATGGGAACTGGCTCATTTGTTGTAGCAGCAGCAGCCAGCCAGCCGCGTGACAATGAAAGTTTCAAATAACAACGCGCTGCCGCACACGCACACACACCCTCAAACGAAATCGTCTCATACATAGTACATTAATGTAAACACGTTGTTGCCACCCACATCCATGGATTTTTGTAGCCGCGTATGAATATCAACGTTCCACCCAGTACAAGAAAAAAGAAGCGATAGAAAAATAAAATATCATTTAATCCATGCCAATAATGTCAGTACCGTTAATCCCTTTGAGACCGACCAAACCATACCAACCCCGAACCCAAAAATCAAACAAAAGCATCCGCCGAAATAAAATATTCACATGTATGTATGCTAAGCCTATTTGAATGCAAATGTAGGTGTGGTTTATGCATTTTTTTTTTTTTACTTTTTTTATTACCTGCCCATGAGTAATTAGCGAAAATGTTTCATTAAATATTAATGTACAGGAAATATGTAGTATCAAGGACGTTTTTGAGTTAGTCAGGGTGAGATGTGCGTTTTTCGATTTTAGTATTCGCGTACGGCATTCTAGAAATAAAATTACCTAAAACTTTTACTAAATATAATATTCATAGAAAAAAAAATAAATATCAGCAGTGCATTTGAAAATCACTACGCCACTTTTTTATCCATAAAAGCTCTTAATAAAAAGCAGCGGTGGCTCAAATATACCACATTACTTTGTCATCTCTTTCACATTTCACATTTGAGAATGATTTGAAATTAAAGCCTTTCTCAAATGCCAAACGTTTGAAAATGAAATGATGAGAAGACGTAAATAATTTCCGTCTTGAAATAAACGTCCCGCGAGACGAAAAAATATTAAAGGCCCATATAATTATTATGAGATAACGAAAATTATTTAAATTTTAAAATATTCGTCCCGCGGGGCGAAAACAACTTATCCATTGTTCAGTAATAATTATAAAGCAATATTTAATTTTATTTCTTATAATCGTTATGGTCTCTGTTAAATAATATATGTATACATATTTTTCTTAAAAAACCAAAAAAATTAAATAAAAATAAAAAAGTAAAATAAATTTTTAAAAACTCAAAGAAAATTAATCTTAAAAAAAAGAACAAATAAAATAAATTCCTGAAAAATAAATGAAATTAAAATTAAATTCTTTTCTTTTTAAAGCAATAAATTCTAAAAATTCAACGAAGAACAAATTATAAAATAAGTTTCTAGAAATTGAATTTAAAAAAATATCAAAAAATCAAATATTGAAAGAAAATTAAATAAATAAAATAAATTTTAGCAATTATTTTTCGAGAAATTACATTAAACACAAAAATGTATATTTTCTTTTTAAAAAAATAAAATTTCAAAAAATATAAACAAAAAAATAAATTAAACAAGTAATTTTTAGCAAAAAAACAACCGACTTAAAGAATTATATATGTATATAAATATTTCATGATACAATTATCGGATCTAAACCAGTGAACAACCTTAATGCAAATAAAAGCTAACAAAAGTCTTTATAAACCGTATATACAGTGGTGGAAGAAATAATATACAGGCATGTTCTGAAATTCGAAAATTTCAAATCGACTCGATTTCGACAATTTTTTTGATGGTTTTTAACCAAAAAATTTACAAGTCTCGCATTAAAATGATTTATTTCATATCGCTGCTGCTTCTTTTACTGTTTTCAATTAGAATATTCACTCTTTTCATCAGATATAATTAAAAACTATTTGGCAATTCGAGTCGATTTCAAAGTTTCGAATTTCGGAACATGCCCGATAAACTTTATTTTGACCAGTTTTGGCTACAATTCTTTTGTTTATTCGGTGTTTCATATGCACCATATTCATCCACATTTCAAACTTTGTACAAAAATTATTAAAATTGAACAGATTTTACCAAAATCCCCCAAAAATTTCAAACTTGAATTGTGCGCTTAACTTTTATAAAAAAAAAATATTAAAATCAAATATACAAAAGTAATATAGCCAATATTGGTTAAAATAAAAAGTTTCTTTTATTTCTTCCAACACTGTACATCTCTTTTCGATAGGGCTGGTAGTTTCTGAATTTCCTTCATTTTTCATTTTTTTTTTTTTTTTATAAAAAAATAAAAAAAAAAAATCAAACTCAAGCTCAAAGAACCTTTGGATGTCAAATTTCATAAAAATCTGATAATTAAAAAAAAATTAAGAACTGACTTCAGATTGGTAATCAGCAGCAACAAAAACCCTTGGATATGAAACAAAAAGTTGAATTTTGACAGACGGTGATATACAATAAAAAGGAGCTTCATTTATTGTAGAACTAATACAGGGCTTTAGCGAGGTAATACGAAAGCGATGAATTCTAAAAATGTTTCTTGTTTATAATTTTTTTGCATTCTACCACATCTTCGACTGCATTCGAATGGCGGCTTACGTAAACCCATTTAAATCCCTCAAACAAGCGCAAATAAAACCAATGACCTGCACCACCAACCCACACACACTTGTACCATTTTGAACGCCAAACCGCAAAAATATAAAATAAAACATTTAAAGAATCCTCCTTGCAAAAAAATATCCAGCAAATTCCCTCCTTAACCCCAAACGCAAATAATCATCAAATTCCAAATTATTAAAAATTACAAAAAAATAAACTGCAAAAACCAACTCAATTCCACAAAATTACCATCAAGAAAAAAAGTACAGTCATCACCTTTCAAAAAACAACTAAACCTTATCTCATCACCACATACAAACAATATCCTATTGTCCTTTTTTCTCTTTCTCTCTCTCTTTATCCCTTTTCCAGCGTTGAACTGCAGAAGGCTAATCTACAGGAGGCGAATAATGTCGCTAATGGCCAGAACAACAGTGGCAACAACAGCAACACTAACGCCGCAAATGGTGGCAGCAATGGCAATGCCAACGGCAACACCAATAATAGCAATCACTTAAGCGGCACGTCCAATTTGGGCAGTGGCGGCAGCAATAACAGCTTGAATCAGAGCAACAGCAGCAATCATAGTAGCAGCAATAGTTTAAACAATTTAAACACAAACACAAGCAATTCGAACAACACACACTCAACAACAGCCATGACAAACGCAAACAACAGCGGCAATGGTAGCGGTAGCGGCGGCAGCAACAGCACTGGTAGCAATAGCGGCAGCAACATAACCTTAAACACCACATCCAACAATCCAACCAATCCATTTTCCAGTTCACTACCATTTACAAATCCACCAAATCCCTTTGCAACTTCCACAGCAGTAAGTTCGTTAGCCACCGCTATACCGTTAGCGCAATTGTTGTCCAAGCCGGGCGCTTTGAATGCACTCTCGAGTCTGACCGCACTCGGTGGTCTAACCGATCTATTGGGCGGACTGGCCACACTCAATGGTCCACCCATACAGACAACTGGTGTGCACCGCACTAAAAGTTTTGTATCGACACGTTTTCGTAGCCACAATCATACCGACGGCAATACAGATAGCGATAAGACACGCAACAAGTTCAATCCTTATTAGAGTAGTGAATGAGTTTAGAAAGAAGAGTGCAGTGGAAGTGATAGCGTGAACGCTTTTGAAAGATTGCGTGATGAAAGCTTTTGATGTAGAACAGTCGAAAGCGTTTGAAATGGTAGTATGAAAGAATTGGCAGTAAAAGGATGAAAGCTTGAAGAATGGAAAAATTTTAGCTTTGATAGGGAAGTTGGAAGAATTTGAATATTAGAGGGGAAACATTTTTTTTTACATAAGAGTATGAAAAGCTTTGCGCTAGCTAGGTGAAAGCTTTGCAAAGTTTTGTGAAAGCTCCGAGATCATAGCGCATAGCACGCTATTCAAATAAAGGGCAAAGTCGACGCCGTTTCGATCAGTAGTTCGCTCTAAAGTAGTATTAGTAGTTGTATGAAATGCGTTTGTTTGCGGCAATTTTTTCGAAATTTTGTAAAAGGTCGCACCCGCACTTTTTCTATACTTTTTTTGTCAGGTAAATGTAGGCGTTAGAAAAGAAAGGTGTACAAATTATATCAGAAGAAAAGAAATAAGAGACAATAGTTTCAATACGCATATACTCATAGATTGGAAGACAAAAATTTAAGTTGAAATTTAAAATATTATATTGTATATTTAAACAAATTTGTTTAGTCAAATTTTTGCCAGATCGTTATTGCGGCTTAAATCACATCATTATCAACTTCATACATATGCCTGCTTTTGCCACCGGAAGTACTATATATTAAGTAAACTTTGTCCGCTTAAAAAGAAAAAAATAGTTGACAATTTTTTTTTAATAATTTCAAAACCTAAAGTTTACCAAATCGGTGTACGATTTAGAGAAGGATTTTTCATGAAATATTAGGTTTCTAGTTTGTTGAAATCAAATTCTATTTTATCAAATTAATTATGTAGTTGTACAGCCGGTCCAAGCCCTTATGAAACCTACATTCATATTTGCATACATACATACACATATTATTGTATAATTAAATATACATATTTTGAGGTGCGCATACATTTTCTCAAGTAATCCACTGATCATTGCATATATACATACAAACATACGATGTTTTGATATTTTTTAAGTTAAAGTATTAGTTTGTAAGCGCAAAGAAAATATGTTTTTATTGTATTTAGTTTATAAATAAAAGTATAAAAAAACCAATTTTGCAAGCTTAATAATAGAATCATGAGTGTAGCAGTGAACAAAAAAAAATATAATATAAAAAAAATAGTTTTAAATTAAAAATTTTGATTTTTTGTATAAATTACTTAGAAAAATAAAAAATATATTTGGAAAAATTGCGTATTTTGTATATTTATTTATTCTTTTATATTTAATTTTGGTATTTTGCGACCTAAAAAAGCATTAAAGCTTATGTTTTTGTTTTAAATATGATTATTGTATCTTAATTTTTCCTGAACGCTTTAAATCTTATTACGAAAAAATCTTTAGATAATCGCTGCAATTGTAAGGATAACAGGTTTCTTCAGAAAACTGGAAATAAAATAATCATATTAGCTTTTAAACTTGATCAGCTTACATATAGAAAGTGAAAAAAGTCGTATACGAATTAATTTCAGCTGCTCGATTTTAGTATAAGTATAAAGATAGGTGTTTATTTTGTATCAAATTAGAAAAGACCGCAGTGAAAGAAAAAATTGTGATTAAAAAATGAAATCAAATTTTATTATGATTGAAGTTGCAAAAAATGGGGCAATGAGAGATGAGCAAGCAGGGCCATTGAAGAGAAATCATAAAAAATGTATCAATAAAAACTTTAGGATACAATAATAGATGTACATATTTCCTCAGCATCTTAGAAGCTCTGAAAACCTGACTGAACTGTTTGAGGGAAAAATCTATACTTTGAAGAAGAATGACTGTTAAACAAAATTTGCTCAACACAGAAGAAAGAAATGGGAGCCATATTTTAAAAGAAGTATAAATATTTTGCTAGTGCTAGGTCGAGCTTCGTGTAAACAACTCGTTATATTTTGTATTAAGTAAAGTTCCATAAGTTACTATAAAATTATCTATTTTTGCTGCTACATATGTACTTACAGTTACGGTCAAAATAATAGAATCAAGATTCAAAATGATGGTGTTGGCAACTTATCTTTATTTATTTATTTTTGATAATTTTCATTTAAAATATAAGTCGACCTATATCAGTTTCAAAGCTTGCAAAAGTTCACAAAAACTAATTAAACTTAAAAAAACTGTTCATAAAAATTTTGATTTTTAATTAGATTTCCTAGCAAGATTTCGAGTATGTAGTTTTATAGCACATTATATTTTAGTAATAAAGTTCAAGTTTGAAGTCGCTAAAAATTACCGTTGATTTTTTACAATTTTTTTTGTCGAGGGTGTTGCGAGCTTTCTTCCATGTAACCCATGAACAAAACTTACTTTTATACGGAAGAAAATGCGCAACACCCTCGACAAAAAAAATCTAAAAACTTAACGGTATTTTTTAGCGACTTGAAACTTGCACTTTATTATACCAAAATTTATTGAGCTACAAAACTGCATACCCGAAAATGTTCTTAAGATTCTGATTATAAAGTTTGAATTTTTGATGACAATTTTTTTAAGTTTGATTAATATTTTTTTTTTTTTTGTACAAGCTTTGAAACTTTTATTTATGTGGTATCTGATATTGGTCGACCCATATTTTAAATGAAATTATTAACAATAAGTAAATAAAGATAAGTTGCCAACAGCATCATTTTGATTCTTGATTCTATTATTTTGACCGTAACTGTATGTACATATAACACAGTGCGGCAGTAAATTTTAGACACAAAAAATTGAGTATATTTGCTGAACTAAGGGCCGAAAATCAGAGACCATAACGATTATAAGAAATAAAATTAAATATTGCTCTATAATTATTACTGAATGATGGAAAAGTTGTTTTCGTCTCGCGGGACGTTTATTTTAAAATGTAAATTATTTTCGTCATCTCATAATAATTATATGGCCTTTTTATTTTATTTTCGTCTCTCGGGACGTTTATTTCAAGACGGAAATGATTTACGCCTACTCCAAATAATTATATGGGACTTTTATTGAATGAAACTTCTTAATTGAGTTCAGAGATTTGACGCGTTAAATATTTAAAAATGTGGTGTCAAATTAAAGGGCTTTGCTTTTACGTGGTTTAACTTTATTGAAAGGGGTTGCCAGATGTTAGCAAATCAAATTCCAATAATCAAACTCGCAAATATTTGCGTTTAATTTCGTGAAATCGGCAGTACATCTACCGATTCTATTAGGAGAAAACGTGGGACGTAAATCATTGTCGTCTTGAAATAAACGTCACAGGAGACGAGAAAAATAAAAGTCGCATATAATTATTATGAAAACTAAAAATCCCATATAATTATTATGAAAAGACGTAAATAATTTCCATCCAACGAGACGAAAAAAGATATTTCTCGTAAATAATTATTATACAAAGACGAAAAAAATTTCTCTTAAAACAAGGCGACCTCTTTGATCTCAAATATTAGGATAATAATTATTTTGGGTCTCTACCGAAAATATTAAAACTAAGTTTTTAGTTTTTCTCGCTGACGTCAGGATTCTTGTTAAAATTACTTTGAAGTTTTAAAGATGTGATTAATCCAAAAGATTGAAAAAAAACTAAGTGCAATGTAGAATAACAATATGGGTATCAAATAAAACAGAAAATTCTGTAGAATTAAAAAGTTTAAATTTTTTGGTGCATGAAGACGAGTAGCTGCTGAAAAAGTCCTTTTACAATTTTATCCTTGAATACCCTTGAAAAATTTGCAATATGTATCTTTGAAAAATTTCATCGAATTTAGCTTAAAAAAGTAATTAAACGCACATTTTCAATACCTATTCGATTTTGTCTATCAAAAAAAATTAAACTTTTTGTTCGTAAAACTTGTCATTTTAAACTTTAACAGTCTGATAAATTTTAAAATTGATGGTGAGACCGGGCATGATTTTTTTGAATTAATCATATCTTTGAAGTATTAAGGTACACGTCAAAGAGAAAAACTAAAAATGCAATTTCATTATACCTTGTTTCGTGAGCATATTGATTTTTTTGTGTGTTTTGGCATCCATTTCCATCGTACTGCTTTTAAACTTAATAGAGCTCTTAACTGCAACTTAGCTTTTGGCGGATGTGGGTTTTTGCGCCTTTGTAATGGTTCGTCAAAACGGTTTTTTGTTGTTTTTGAACCGAGATTTCAGGTTCGGTTCAACGGCTCGGGAATTAAAAAAAGAAAACTATTTATGCATATTTTTCTTCATAGTGCAGCGTATTAAAATACAACGGCTCCGCTGGCTGGGCCACGTTGTTCGAATGGACACCGATGCTCCAGCTCTGTAAGTATTCAACTCGGATTCCGCTTGTGGTAGCAGAGAAAGAGGGAGGACCCCACTATGGCTTCAAGGTAGAGTTGGCCTCTTTATATAGGCCCTGTTAGCCAACTCTTTTTGAGCATAAAATATCCGCTTTGGCAAACGTTGTACTCTCATTGCCCATTAACATTGACTGATGAAAAAAATTTAGATTATGTAGATTTTTCAAAATATGTATTCTTTATAGTAATTGGCGTTATAAAAAATTCATAAATTACTTTATAAAATGATTCAAACGGTATTAATAGCAAAAAAAAGAGCAGCTCAAATAAAATCATATATTCAAATGTAATTTTTGCTTTAGAAGTAAAAAGTAATTACAGGTAAATAGAATTAAAATTATGCGCATACGTTGTAGTGAAGTTGGTGTTATCAACAAAATTAAATAATAATAAACTTTGAAAATTTTGTAACCGCTTCAAAAAATACATTTAAATTTAATAGTTTTTATTTCCCGCTTAGCTTTAGGGACTGAGTGCAGTTTCCAAAAGAAATGACAAGAAATATTTTTCGTTATTTCTGTTGCATGAAAAAGTACTTTGCTGTTGCTGTTAATTTTCTTGAAGAAATAAATACTCGAGCGAATTTTGTCTTGAGAGCTGCAAACTGATTTAAGAAATTTTCCATTTCTTGAACGTCTTGGTATATGAACTTGTCGTTTTTCTTGAGAGTTGCAGACAGCCCTTAAATTCGAAAAAAACTTTGGTTACAGGGAAAACTAAAACTTTGTAAATTCTTCTTATAGTATCAGTTTTAGCCCATCAATAGCTTTCTGAAAATTTGAACCAAATTTTTATAAATTCATTCTTTCGTACATATATTTATAAGCAGTTTTAAGTGAAACAGAAAGTAGTTTTAAAAAAGCTTAAAGCTGGGTAAAACCGAGCTTTCAGTAAGTTTATCACACAGGCGTCAAGGTAGAGCATGCGAAAGCTTAGTAATTAGCAATGCAATTTAACGCCATTAAGTACTCGTAGTTTAGTGACTACCACAGCATTAGAAAATAAAGTTTAACATAGTATTTTAATCTAAGAAAGTAAAAGTTCTGAAAAGCTCTCTCGCTCTAAAAAAAAAGCTCTTTTGTAAGAAAGTAGAAGGGATTTTTAGTTGAAATTTGGGAAATTGTTAATAAAACATATTTTACAATTCATAACCAAAAGCTCTCTAAAGCTTTAAGTGGTTAAAATGGAATGCTTTAATAAATATTAATATTACATATAATTAATACTACTTATTGCGACTAACTTAAAAGTCTCAGATGAATCGTTTTGCACCAGTGATGGTCAATACGTAGCTGAGCATTTTTAAGCCTCGAGCGTGAAAGAACTCCGGCTATGGTGGCTTAACGATAAGACAAGAAAGCGAGATACTTAGAAGTACTTTTTCGACATATATAGTTTTTTAATACTGAAAAAATAATAATTGTTCAGTACATAATTAAGAAACATCAGAAATTTTGAAAACTACGTAGATTTTTTTAAAATAGCTTATAGATTCTTATTGAACAGAAGCACCAATGACCAAAATGGAAGTGTGTATTACAAGGCGGAGCATGAAATTCGTTTGAGTTTTATCTCAAATCAAATCAGTTAGTACTTTTTAATAAAAAATGGTGAGGATATGGATATGTAGGTTTTTAGAATGTAAATCAGAGCGTACCAAGTTTTTTATTTATATATACTTTTTCAAACCTTTCATATCCTCGTACTTGGAAATAAGGTAAAAGCTTGCTCTGGCTAAGATAAGTTAATTATGTACATATACATAATATATTCAATTCTTTTGAATTGGAACCAATTTGTTTGCCCTGTTCTTAATTACCAAATAACTC